ATAAAATAATTGAATTAAAAAATTATACAAAAATAAGAATTTTAAATAGTTGATTTGATATTATATTGATATAATTTTTTCAAATTTTTATAATATTTTCAAATTTATATTTTATTCAAAAATAAAAAACATCATCATTTTTTCAAAATCATATAAGACCACACTATAACATCGACTGAGATAAATAATAAAATAAAATATTAAAATTAAGATGTATCTCGCTGCATTGCGCGAGTACCCTTCTAGTATATGTATAATGTATGTTGTAATAATATACAATTTAGGGGTTGTTTATTTACGATTTACTGGGATTAATTGGGCTTCCGACTTATTTGCACAGTCAGAAATCATAATAGGGTGTTTACTTGGAGTTTATTCACATTGCACAGATGGAGGGTTGTTGTCCACATTCAGCTAAAAAAAAGACACACTTGCCCTTGAGTTTTCATAAACATGCCTCTTCAATACACGCCTCCTTTCACCCCTAGCTTCTTTCAATACACACATCCTTCCATTGAGCCTCATTTTTGTCAATTTCTTCTTCCTTTCTGGCGACCAACGATTTCTCCTTCCATTGAGCCTTCATCGGTTTTCATCAACAAATTGGTTACTGGCAAGATCAATTTTTTCTTCGGTTTTCATTAACAGATCGATTTCTTCTTCGGTTTCATTAACACATCAATTTCTTCTTCGGTTTTCATACAAGATCGATTTCTCCTATTTACTGCGGCAAGATTTTGTTTCTTCTTCGGTTTTCATACAAGATCGATTTCTTCTATCTGCACTGGCAAGATCGATTGCTTCTTCGGTTTTCATAAAGATCGATTTCCTAGACATTCTCAACAGTTTATTTTATTCAATTTCTTGCTTTTTTTTTCCCCAATTCTAGGGGTACGATCTTTAGGGTATCCAATCTTGATTTGGGGTTCTTTAGTTCTAGATATCTGCTTTTTTGTTTTCTTTTTGGATATTTCAGTTTTTTTAGAAACCAAGGTGTTTATGATACTGTTGGTATTAATCAGTTCAATCAAACCTCAAAGACAAAATAATCGATTTGTTAGTAGTTAGTACTATGATATTTGATGAGAATAATGCATCTTGATATTAATTTATTTGTTTGTACTGTGATATTTGTTAAACAATGTTCAGTTCATTGATGTGTAAAATGATCAATTTTGTCATCCAAATCATCGATTCAGAAGAAAAAAGAAACAACACTACATGTTTATCTAGACAGACAAATTTATCCATGCATGACTTGATAGAAAATTTGATAAACAACCCCTTAATCTCGTTACGGAAAAGCAAAATCACCATGTACTACTTTTATATTATTTTTTGGAGTCCTCATCATCCTATATAAAACATAAAATATGGAGTTAAAAAGCAATTGCATTATTGTTTCAATATCATTTCAAAGATCACAATCAAGTCTTAACTGCATATTTGAACAACTTTAAAATCTCAATGCCTTTTCTAGCTCTAAATTGCATCTTTTTTTCAGAAAAAATATATAGACGTGAAGATCTAC